GGATTGAGCCCGCGAGATTTCGGAATTTATCACCCCGACCGGCCTATTCGAGTGGAACCGCATGCCCTTCGGACTAAAACATGCTCCCCAGATGTATCAACACCTCGTGGACAATGCGCTATATGGGTTTCTGAAGATCTCGCGATCAGGCGACCTAGGAAGCACAATGGACGTGTTCCAGGCAGGGCCCGCTGACGATCCTGATCGCCCATCGGTGTTTGAACGTAGATCATACATTGACGACATCATGGTTGCCACGGAATCGTGGGGTCAAATGTGCCAAAAGGTGGAAGATCTGCGGGAAGCGTATGAAAAGTGGAATTTATCGATCAGTGTCAGAAAGAGCTTCTGGGGTATGAGTAAGGTAGACTATCTGGGACATCGGGTATCGACCGAAGGGCTAGAGGCGAATCCAGAGGAGTTGAAATCGCTAACCGATCTACCATTCCCCGGGTCACTTAGATCCATGCAGTCGTTCTTGGGGAGTCAGAATTATTACGGCCGGTTCATTGAGGACTACGCCATGTATACCTCAGTTCTATATGAGCTACGCGAGGTAGAGTTTGCGGAACTGAAGAGGTGATCGGATCTGAGGAAGGTCATAGACCAGAATTCCCTACCGCGTCTGATAGCGACCCACCGGGACCCCAGTCTGCGATACCGTTCGATGAGAGATGGATCAGGGCTTATAAGGCGTTCGCAACTTTGAAGACTAAGATCGCGACAACGCCGATCCTCCGCCACTTCGACGAGACGAAAACGCCGGTGGTAATTGTATATGCCAGTGACTTGGGAATTTCTGCCTCATTCATGCAAGAACACAATGGAATCCACCATCCTATTGCATTCGCCAGTTGTACGCTAAAGACAAACGAGTTGAATTACAACGTGACAGAAAAGGAGGTGTTAGCGCTGCTGAGGATCGTGGGCCTCTTCTACAACTTGTTGGTGGGACGGGAGATCCGGGTCATGACGAGACATTCCACGCTCACTTGGCTGTTCAAGTCGGCAGGACTACAAGGTCGTCTAGGACAATGGTCCGCCCTTCTGGCCTGAAAGTGATTTGCACCCGCGAAGGATTCGAAGCAATGCGATAACGGCACTTAGTGTATGCCTCCGTCGACTTCTGTTTTCGAAGCGATAGATCGACGTGACAGTCCCTCTGCCACAGTTTCTACTACGTAGTTTAATTTCTCAGTGATGAGCTAGATAAAATGTTGTACTTCAACGTGAACAGAACTGTCAAGAACTTGGACAAGTACTTCTCAGCAAATTACAATAAAAGGACTGGGAAGTATCAAGGGAGTTTGGGGCTTCATTGACGCCAATTTGTCGCCTAAATACAGAGCAACAAGCAATGTATAATTGCCGCAAGAGCGCCCACCCGTTGAAATTCCAGACAATCGTCACACCTGATGGTCTCATTTCACATTTATTTGGTCCGGTTGATGACCGACGGCATGACATCTTTATGTAGAATGAGAGTTGTTTGAATGGCGAACTTGAGGGCAATCTACCACTTCATGTCAAATTGATCTATGGTGGTCCGGCTTACGGGTGCACGAACGTGTTCTGCTGTCCGTACAAAGGGTACAGAGTCCATGCAACCCTGAAAGAACTCAATCAATCGATGAGAGCAACTAGAGTGTCTGTGGAGTGGTCGTACGGATGGATCGCCAAGTACTTCTCGTGCTTGGACTATAAACGGCATCAACGAGTCGTAACCACATATACCGAAAAATGCTTTACAAGCTAGATGTAGCTTTCACGGCCTGCTTGACGATTTATTCGTGGTGGCAACAATAAGTATTTTTGCTGCCATCCGCCAACATTCGAGGAATATATTGCATCACGCCTATGCCCAACTTAACAAGAAGTGTGTTACTAGTTAAGCCAAGGTTTACACAAATCAATAAATTTAGTTGTTTCATCAGGCACGAGCCGAATTCGAAATTTGCAATTAGGAGAAACTATATTTTCAATTGGTGTTATCGCCATATCTTCACTACGTAAATCTGTTTCACTGCGACGGATATGCTTCCATTCGTTCCATCTCTTAGAGTTCTCATCCACTTCACGTTTGTGCAACTCATGCTCTCCCTTCCTCTGATTATCCTCCTTGTTTGTCTTAGTTCGCTTTAAACTGAGGTCTTCACACAAGCGTCCGTACTTTTCGTTGTGTCGTTTGCTCTGTCTATTTATAAAATCAACTGTTTCATCATTGACCCAATTTGAGGTGATACCGCCGCCATTCGTTCCATTGGCACTATTAGATGATCATTAGCACCTTTGACGGGTGTCGTCTCATCATCACCCTCCAAATCTGTGTTCCCTGTATCACTTACACCATGCGTGCTTCCAGTAGTTCCACCGGAAGATGCACACCGCCAGCGACGCTTGGTCAGGTGTTTGCGAAGTATGTCATCAGCCGGTACAAGTCGATCATCTTTGGTTTTCTTGTCAGCTTTCCGCTTCGTCTTCGACGCCACAACGTCCCGCATCGTCTTTGTGATATCTTGTAACCACTGCTTGATCTCTGTGTAGTCTTTTGCAGCTCCTGGCCTCTAGCGAGATTCGATCTCATGGGACTTCAATTCTCAAACAAACAGAACGAAGTCTCCAGAATCGGGCCTCAAGTGCCGCTGCCTGAAAGATGCAGTATAGCAATCTCTGCAAGACCACGGCCGGCGTGGCCGCCTTGATGGTACGCATCGCCGACTCTGTCTCTCAGTGCTCGTTCACATGATCTGCTACATCTTGAATATGCGCGGCAACGGTTCCATGTTTGGCTGCATACGGTCGAACATTGAGCACGTCCCTCACTAAGTCCAAACCATT